AGTACCCATCAAAACTTCACTTAAATGTCCACAATTTTATTCAACAATAAACGGCTTAAGTATGTATATCTAAAGCAAGGTACAATTCAACTTAAATGCTTTATTATGGCAACTAAATCACATTATATTTTTGTCAAAGGTGTAGGGTATTATATGGTCGGCCTCGCCCGACTATAATTTCTTACTTGTTTTTGTCATAATTTTTGTTGTTGTTTTAACTTTGAGATTTATTAATAGCTTAGAAGAAATTTTATAAACAAGCAAGAATTAATACTAAAGTGGCAGACGTTAAGTAATGTTCATTTTAAGAAATTCTAATTTATCCTATATATTTTTTATAATAAAAATTTAAAAAATATAAGAAAAAATATAAAACAAGTAAGTTATAACATGAACTGTTTTGTTGAAAGTGAGCATTTGTTTGAAAATAAATCTTAAAATTCAGCAGATTTGAAGCGAGAAGAAATTGTTGGTCGACCGGAACTAAGTTTTGAAACCATCGTAGAGTCATCATTGGGTAGTGCAAAACCAGTAAGATGTTTAATTAGCATATATATTTATTTCAAAAGATACATAAAGGTAACGTTTTTTTTTATTATTTATTTGAATTTACATTAGATTTTTATAAAGTGGCAGCACAATCAGTATGTCATAAACTGGGTGACCCTAGATTAGAGAAAGCTTTCATTGTGCAGAAATAAAAGCTCTGTCCAAGAAGTATAAGCTCTCTCCAAGAAAATAAAAGCTTTTAAAAGTTCAATTCCAAGAAAGCTTTTTTGAATTTTTATTTAGTAAGAGTCTGAACCCAAGTCTGTTAACTGTGGAGAAAACAGAAATCCCAGTTGGAAATATAGAAAAAAGGGAAGCAAACATATTGTTCTCAGTGGCTGTAGGGATTAGGTTAAAGTTTGGAATTACTTTTAAGAAATGTATTTTAAACCTGTAGATTAAGTTATCACCATTTTTATTTTTAATCAAGTATATTATTAATGGGGCATCTTTTTGTGAAAAGGATCCAGCTAGATATTTAATTAGTTTACCGATAAGAAAAGCAAACCTGAGAAAACATTTAGGTTTGCGAAAGATATCTGTCCTTCAACTAGCTCTTTTAGGGATAGGAATAGAATTCGGGAAAAATTTGTGCTACAGGCTTAAATGATAAGCCAATAACTATCAGGTTTGGTTCTTTAATTTTAGTTATTCGGGATCCAAATCTTCAATAATCTTCGGGATATCTTCGGGATCCAAATCTTCAATAATTCTATCAGACATGTTTTCGAGAAGTTTCCTATTTAAAATCAACAAAATCCGTTCATAAACAAGCAAAAATCCGAGACAACCTCTGCACAGTGGTATAGGAAAAAAAAGAGGGAAATAATTCGGTAACTTCTAAACGGTTAATTCGATTTTGATGAAATTTGGTATGCACAAAGAGGAGGTGTTGTCGAGTTTAGGTTTTGAATTTGGACCTTATAGGCCAACCAGGGGCCCGGCGGGGGGTCCTTAAATTAGGAAACCTCGGCTATGTTAAATTTTTAAAACGATCCTATTTCTTCATTTGAGTTCCGATTTCGTATATAGAATCTCCTCATCGAGCACTATAAAAAATGTCGTCGTAGCAGTAAATTATCTCTTATAGTTTAGGAGATATTCGCATTTGGAAATTAAAATTTTAACATTTTTACCGTCCTTACTTTAGTTTTTTGATAATAGCGGGTCCAAATATTCCCGAAATCGGAACTCAAATGAAGAAATAGGATCGTTTTAAAAATCGGATTAACCGTTTAGAAGTTACCGAATTATTTCCCTCTTTTTTTTCCTATACCACTGTGCATCGAGAAGTGTGAAACATAAAATCCATCGTTTCTCGATTTGTGAGTAAAAAGTGTTTCTGTAACTTAAAGTGAGAAGAGGCTTCACGAATTACGTTTTAATTGGAAATTTCCAATAAAACTGCTGTCAAAAAAAAATTAAAAGAAGAAAACAGAAATTGCCGAACAAATTTATAAACGAAAAATAAATAAACAAAAAATATAGAAATTAAATGAAAATTTTTCGAAATATTATCCCACTAAATTCGCCCTTGGCAAATTCTAAGTTTACGCCCACGTACTTTTTTAGCATTTGCTTCTGTATATCCGAAATTCCTCCTATTTTCTAAAAATTAGTGAACAATATTTATTTTAATCTTAATTAATTATAAATATTACATTACTTTTTCATTATTTCAGAGAATTCATGTTTAAATTTTTTTTTTAATTAAAATTTTCCTTTCCGCACAGTTTTAAAATGTGGAAAATTGGAAATTTTCAATTAAAACGTAAATCGTGTAGCCTCTTCTTACTTTAAGTTACAGAAACACTTTTTACTCACAAATCGAGAAACGATGGATTTTATGTTTCACACTTCTCGATGTGAAAACTTCTCACTAAAAGTTACAGAAACGGGGTACTGGATTAAGTGAGAACCTATAAATAGGGACTTTTTGGTACTTTTTCGTTCTTTAAAAGATACTTTTTGAAATTTCTATAAAATTGAATCTAGAAATATGAAATTAAGTATGTAGAGCCCGGATTAAGTTAGAACGTATAGAATGGGACTTTTTGGCACTTTTTCAGTCTTCAAAAGGCACTTTTTGAATTTTCTATAACATTGAACCTAGAAACATGTAATTATGTATAAAGAGCCCAGATTATGTGAAAACCTATAAAAGGGCACATTTTGGTACTATTTCCGTTCTTCAAAAGGTACTTTATGAAATTTCTATAATATTGAACCCAGAAACATTAAATTGCATGTAGATCCTGGATTATGTGAGAACCTATAAAAGGGTACTTTGTCGTTCTTCAAAGGGTACTTTTTGAATTTCCTATAATATTGAACCTAGAAATATTAAATTCTGCATGTAGAGCCCGGATCAAGTGAGAACCCATAAAAGGAGACTTTTTGGTACCTTACCGTTTTACAATTGGTATTTTTTGATTTTTATACCCACCATCAAAAAAGATGGGGGGTATATTGTTTTTGTCATTCCGTTTGTAACACATTGAAATATTCGTCTAAGACCCATAAAAGTATATATATTCTGGGTCCTTATTAGATTCTAAGACGATCTAGCCATGTCCGTCCGTCTGTCTGTTGAAAACACGATAGAGTCCAAACGGAAGTAGCTAGAGAGCTGAAATTTTGCATAGATACTTTTAGTTGATGCAGTTCGTTTGGTATTGAAAATGGGCAATATCGGTCCACGATTTCGCCTAGCCCCCATATAAGGTCCCCTTCAGAAAATGACTTTAACGCTCATAACTGACTAAAAGAAGCACCTATAGCGATGAAATTCGACATAAACATATTTTATAGGAACCTTAAAATCTTTGCAGAATTTTATAAAGATCGGTCTGTAATTGACCCTACCCCCTATATAAGGTCCCCTTCAGAAAATGACTTTAACGCTCATAACTGTCTAAAAGAAGAATCTATAGCGATGAAATTCGACATGAACATATTCTATAGAAACCTAAATCGCTTTGTAAAATTTTATAAGGATCGGTCCATAATTGACCCTAGCCGCCCTATAAGGTCCCCTTCAGAAAATGACTTTAACGCTCATAACTGTCCAAAAGAAGCATCTATAGCGATGAAATTCGACATGAACGTATTTTATAGGAACCTTAATATGATTGTAAAATTTTTTAAGGATCGGTCCATAATTGACCCTATCCCCCATATAAGCCCCCCTTCAGAAAATGACTTTAACGCTTATAACCGACTAAAAGAAACATCTATAGCGATGAAATTACAACCTATTTTATAGAAACGTTAATCGCTTTGTAAAATTTTATAAGGTTCGGTCCAGAATTGACCCTACCCCCTATATAAGATCCCCTTCAGAAAATGACTTAAACGCTCATAACTGTCCAAAATAAGCATCTATAGCGATGAAATTCGACATGAACATATTTTATAGGAACCTTAATATCATTGTAAAATTTTATAAGGATCGGTCCATAACTGACCCCTTCAGAAAATTACTTTAAAGCTCATAACTGTCCAAAAGAAGCATCTATAGCGATGAAATTCGACATAAATATATTTTCTAGGAACCTAAATCGCTTTGTAAAATTTTATAAGGATCGGTTCATAATTGACGCTACCCTCCATATAAAGTCCCCTTCACAAATGGCTTTAACGCTCATTACTAGCCTAAACTAAAATCGTTCTAGAAAATTTGACGAGGATCGGTCCATAATTGACCAAACCTCCCCCCCTAGTAACGCTTTACGCTTTTTACTACCTTAAAAATGCAAGTTCAGCGACAAAATTTGTTACAATTTTCTCTACCAAATTATAGGAGGATCAGTCCATAATTGATCCTATCGATATACATAATATGTATGATGGTAAAATTATACAAAGAGGTAATGAATGAGAAAATTGTTTTCATAATAACAAAAGCATCGATTCTTAAATATCAAAGTTTATTTATAAGGAAGCATTCCTTTTCGCCAATGTTTTGATGGTGGGTATACAAGATTCAGCACAGCCGAATATAACACTCTTACTTGTTTGTAATAAAATTCGTACTTACTATTTTTTAACATATCATGGTGAAGGGTATATAAGATTCGGCACAGCCGAATATAGAACTCTTACCTGTTTTTTTAATAATTTCAAGAAATGAAGAGAGCCATACAACCGTTACATTTTCCATGCGTATTTTCTCATAATGTGATTTCATTACATATTGCGTTTAGACGATCCCATCCGTATTCTTCTACACCAAATTTTTACAGATAATATTACTTGTGTGCTCTTGTGAAGGGGGCTTTAGTAATATTTTTTATTAAACTACTTTATTTTAAATAATTAACGTTAACAGATTTTCTATACTCAAAAATTATCTTACTGAAATTAAAAATATTTCGTAAATACTCAATTTTATATTTTGTAGACGATAATTCTTAATAATAAAGTTTTCTTTCATTAAACATTCTTTTCAGCCCTAGTTATAAAAGCATGGTTTATAATAGAGTCAACACAAATATAAGCACTTTTAACTATCAATCTGGCAACAATTTAATACATCATATTGAAAATATAAAAAGTAGTAAAATACGCCGATCAAGCGAATATCGAAATAAAAATGTAAGTAACTTTGGTCGACATAATTGAATTTTATTATAATATGTACATTAGGGTAATGACTTTTTTGGGCGGCAAAATATCATAGCACTGCCTTATAGCCAATACTGTCCAATTTCTAAAATGCTTTCGATCCTTATTTTTCAAAAATTATTTTAATAATTTTCATATAAAAGTATACTATTTTCTATAACATGCAATACTATCGAGATTTGTTAAAATTTCCATAACAAGGATTTAAAGAACAATGTTCTCTTATGATAACGTAATACAAATGCAAAAATGTTGGCAAAAATACTTATTTCGCTCATAAAAAAAAGTAAAATTTATACAAAATTTCATTGCTTTTGGTGCGGGAACTTTTTTCACGATCGCGAAAAAAGAATATCATATTCCTTAACATCTGTTCACGCAGTACAAGGTCTTGCTGTGGTATTTTTGATTTGATTTACATATATGATTTACATATATGTCTTCTATATATATAAAAATTAATGTGTGTTATGTATGTATGTATGTATGTATGTATGTATGTATGTATGTATGTATGTATGTATGTATGTATGTATGTATGTATGTATGTATGTATGTATGTATGTATGTATGTATGTATGTATGTATGTATGTATGTATGTATGTATGTATGTATGTATGTATGTATGTATGTATGTATGTATGTATGTATGTATGTATGTATGTATGTATGTATGTATGTATGTATGTATGTATGTATGTATGTATGTATGTATGTATGTATGTATGTATGTATGTATGTATGTATGTATGTATGTATGTATGTATGTATGTATGTATGTATGTATGTATGTATGTATGTATGTATGTATGTATGTATGTATGTATGTATGTATGTATGTATGTATGTATGTATGTATGTATGTATGTATGTATGTATGTATGTATGTATGTATGTATGTATGTATGTATGTATGTATGTATGTATGTATGTATGTATGTATGTATGTATGTATGTATGTATGTATGTATGTATGTATGTATGTATGTATGTATGTATGTATGTATGTCTTCTGTATGTCTGTCTTGTCTGTATGTATGTCTGTATGTATGTATGTATGTATGTATGTATGTTGTATGTTTGTTTGTGCTTTATAGACGTCTAAACGGCTGAACAGAAATTTTCACAGTGTCTTCCTGTATGTTTGGAAGGAACTATAGGCTACTTTTTATTTAAAAATTTCAAGTGGAACAGGTGACACGCCCACATACAAACTTAGTATTAAAAGTCCCATATCTCAGAAAGTACAACAGTTAGAGTCTTCAAATTTTGTATGGACATCTTTGACATATATAAGAATATTTTCCGACAAATCGGGCGGAATGGCTATAGTGGGCGTGGCACCTTCCATATAAAGAAAATATTAAATAAGTATATCTGAGAAAATATAACAGAAAGAGTCCTCAAATTTTGTAGGAACTACTTTAGTGGCAATATGATTATTTATTTGCGTGGCACATCCCATATGAATTAAATACAAAATTCTCTTATCTGAGAAATTATTAAAGTTAGAATCTTCAAATTTTGTACGAAGAACTTTAACATCCATGTAAACATTTTGGGTAATAAATTGGCGGACTACCAATGGGTGCCGTTGCTCCTCCCATATGAATAAAATATACAAAAATTTGTTTCTTTGAGAAACGAATAGAGCTAGCTTCCTAAAATTTTGCACGAAGAACTTTATTATTTATCTGAACATTCCCATATGAATTAAATAGAAAAAATATCGTAAGTAATATTAACGAAAATTTTTAGTAAACCCTTAACGAAAAAAACAGTTAAATCTACATGTTTTTTATTCAAATCTACAGAAATTTTATTCATATAAACGAATTTTCTTCATATTTAGTAATTAATTTTTGTTAAAAAATTTAGTCAATTTAATCTGTTGATTTGAATAAATTTCTTTATATTTACATCCAAAATTTTGTTAAATCAACAGAAATTTTGTTAAAACAGCGGTAAAATAGTAAAATCGCAATTATTCAAATCTACACCTAAAATAGTTAATTTTACACCCTTGAAGGTGGTTAACTTGAAGAATATATCGTTAATTAAAATAATTTTTTTTGAAGAAATTTTCTCACAAAAAAACATAAAATAATAAAATACAAAGAAGAGGAAATAATGAAAGAGGGATGTAGCTTTAAAGAAATTTCGTTAAATTTAACTATTTTATTTTATTTAAATTGAATAAAGACATGTAGAACTGAAGAAATTTCTAAGTTTTTTTTCGCAATATAAAAGAAAAAATTTAAAAGAATACTTGTGTACATTATTTCACATTGTGGTTCCCTTTAAAGTGTTTGTGTTATCAAATAATTATTTTAATAAATAAGATTGAAAGTTAAGAAAATTTGATTGCACAAAATACTAAATATAATATATACGTGTAAATATTGTGCTTATAAATACGAATTTTAAATGTTTTTTAATATGAAGTGTTTTATATTTTTTTAAAATATATTCTGTCAATTTATCTACAAAAATATCTGAAAATATTGTAAATCTCTGGTAAGTCCTCGTTGTATTTTTATATAAATATACATACATATACCACTGATATTTGTTTTGTTATTTAGGAATATTACTACATAAAGCAATCTGGAAGAAACCCCAAGATAAATTATACAACAAATATTTGAATATAATGCGTAAGCTGAAATAATATGGCGTTGTCCAAGAGAGGCCTTATTCAAATACTGGATATATACAAACTAATTTAAATTCTATTTGGGTGCAACAAAACATGACCGGCTCCACGTTGTGTGACATGCGAAATGTACTTCTGACATATTAAACAAATGGTCACAGGTATGTTATTCTATAAAATTCAACAACATATTTATACATTTAATGTCATGTTTGTTTATTTCTTGTAGGTGGATAAGGAATTCAATTATATCCAAAAACAGTGTGTGAAAATTTCTCCTTAAAAATTGACTCCGTGTTTACAGATAGCATAAAGGAACAATCTTGTAAGCATTTATCGCAAAATATGAAGTAAAAGGATAACATAAGTGAAAGTAGTTAGTTGGAAAGAAGAATGTATATAGTATATCAAATCTGAAGAAATACATCTAGGCCACTATCAGGCCTTCTGTACGCTCCTTAACCAGTTCCTCAGATAGGAATCGAACCCACCACCTCCGGTCTAACAGACTAGAACACTAACCTACCGGAGGCCACTGTGTGAGTGAAAGTAAGTGTTCAAATATTTTATCCATATATATATATATATATATATATATATATATATATAATTTAAAAAAATATAATTTAATTTGTTTTCCAGATGGTTGTTGTATTGGTATTTTTTACCTTCAACCTTTTACAACTGTCTTTTTATACCGTCAACAAAAACGTGTACAACGAGACTCTCAACGAAGCTTTATTATTGATGTCTTATGTTTAAAACATATTTAGTTCACACCTATCAAAACATTTGATATAAAACCTTAAAAACGTATTTTTTTACTCATTACTTAAAACGTCTTTAAAAATTGTTTCACAATATTTGCTTAAATTTAAATTTACTTATTTATATTAATTCTTATAATAAATTTGTACTTTTAATTTAATTATATAATTTAGCTTTTTATAATTTTATTTTGTAAAAAAACATTTTCTTTTACTATCAATGACAATATTATATAACTTATAAACAGTAAAGAAAAATTACAAGAATTAAAAAAAAATACAAGTAAGAGTGCTATATTCGGCTGTGCCGAATCTTATATACCCTTCACCATAGTGTATTTAAAAATTCATTTTCCCGATTATATCATTATTATCAGTGTTTACTTTTACTAATATATTAGTCAGCATTTGCCGCAAAATACACATTTTTATCACTCGTCATACTAAAAATATTTAAACTTTTTCGGATTTAAATAACATTTAAATAACATTCATTCGTGCTGCAATCTCTAGCAGCACAGAATTAATCTCTTGTTTGTTGTACAAGAAAAAAATATATTTTTGTGCTATAGCAGCGCACACTCAGATCTGTCAAACTAATATGACTAGTATTGATGATATTTTTATTTGCGCTGAGTTTTTCCTAGCAGCAATTAAATTTTGTTTTGCAACTGCTAGCTGCAAATGTATTTATTGTTTTTTTTTTATATTTTATTTTATGAATAAACAGTTATACCAGTGTTACCACAATCTCTAATTAAGGATAATTAGTTTTCGCAACATAAAAAATAGTTTGTAAAATATACATAGTGGCACCTCCCATATGAATTAAATACAGTAATCGTTTTTCTCGGAAACTATTAGAGTCAGAATCTTCTAATTTTGACGAAAAACTTTAACTTCATTATGAACATTGGGAAAAAATGGGCAGACTTTTATTAGGGGGCTTGGAACCTCCATATGAATTAAATAAATATGTATATGTTATTGAAAATATGGCTACCGCATAAAACACAACTCAAATTAAAAGAGTTCTTTAGATGTTTTTATTATTTTGTTCTAATGAATAAACATTTTTGAGCAATGTAGTTGTAAGATAATATGCTTATACTTATAACAATTTTATAACCAAATGATAGTTTTAAATATGGGAATATTTAAACTATATTTAAATAAATTAATAATGTCAATCAGTACAGGATATTATAGGTCGAATATCATCGATATATGGATGATAATAAATATACATATTAATATCGACATACATACATATGTACATGCATACATACATACATACATGCATGCATGCATACATACATACATACATACATACATACATACATACATACATACATACATACATACATAGATACATACACCATACATACATACATACATACATACATACATACATACATACATACATACATACATACATACATACATACATACATACATACATACATACATACATACATACATACATACATACATACATACATACATACATACATACATACATACATACTATACATACATACATACA